GGATTACTTGGCATGTGGCATCTTCATATAGTTGTTGAATGAGGCGGATAAAGGTTTGCGGCACTCCGTAGTAATGAAGCAGCTTCCAAATTACCTCTCGGTCGACGCTGTCAAAGGCCTTCTCAAAGTCGATGAAGTTGAGGTGGAGAGGTGATTGCCATTCTATGCTCTGTTCTATGATGATGCGAAGCGTTGCAATTTGGTCTGCACATGATTTGTACTTCCTGAAGCCTGCCTGTTCCGGTCGTAGTTTTGAATCCAGTGCATCCCTTAGCCTCTCCAGGATGATGCGGCTTAATATTTTACTTGGGGTGGACAGGAGAGTGATTCCGCGCCAGTTCTTGCAAGCACTGAGGTCTCCCTTCTTCGGCAGTTTGACAAGGTAACCCTTCTTCCAATCGTCAGGTACCTTCTCTTCCTTCCACACCTTCTGCAATAGTGGTGTGAGCATGGCCGCTGTTGTCTCTGCATCTGTTTTCAGTGCTTCTGGCGGTATTCCATCTGGTCCTGCTGCTTTCCCACATTTCAGTAGCTTTATGGCGTTCAGGACTTCCATTTTCGTTGGGGGATTAATGTTCACTTGTAGTTCAGCGGCTGCAGGTGGTATTTCTGGACGAAGTGCAGGTGGTGGTCGATTCAAGAGCTTCTTGAAGTGGTCGGCCCATCGTTTCCTCTGTTTCTCTTCTTTTGTAATTAAATTTCCTTCTTCATCTTTTATTGGTTTCATCTGTGTTGGTCTCTTCCCTGACAGCAACCTGGTTATTTGATACAATGTCGTCAGGTCTCTCTTACCTGCAGCCTGTTCTGCTTCACTTGCCAGTGTTTCGTAGAAGTGTCTTTTGTCGTTGCGTGCACTCTTCTTCACTTCTTTGTCCAGTGTTTTATACATTGTGCTCAGTTCCTCTTGTCGTTGAGCATCCTTGCACTGGTTTATCTTCCGCTTCACCATCCTCCTCTCCTCTATCAGCTTCCAGGTATCCGTCGAGATCCATTCCTTGTCTTCCACCTTCTTCCTTCCTAATACTGTTGTGCAGGTTTCTTTCCACATAGCTTTCAAAGACTTCCAATGTTCTTCCACACAGGTTTCTTCAGGGATGTTGCTCGATGTCTCCCATTTTGTCTTGATGGCTGCCTTGAAGATCTCCTTTGTAGTTTCATCCTTCAGTTTCCGAGTGTTGTACTTGAATTGAGGTCTATCACCAGCTTCCTTGAAGGCTTTTAACTTGATTTGGAAGGTTCCTTGCACTAGGTAGTGGTCTGAACCTACATCTGCTCCTCTTCTTGACCTCGTGTTAAGTAGACTGCGTCTCCATTTTCTTGAGATTGAGATAAAGTCGATTTGATTTTTAGTGTGTCCATCTGGTGAAATCCATGTCGCTTTGTGGATATCTTTGTGCCTGAACACACTGCCTCCAATCACCAAATCGTTGAATGCGCAGAATTCTGCAAACAATTCTCCATTCTCATTCATTTCACCTAGTGCCTCTCGACCCATGGTTAGTTCTCTTCCCGTGTTGTCCCCTCCCAGTTTGGCATTCATGTCGCCCATCAGAATTTTGATATCGCCAACTGACGTCTTGTCCAGTGTTGATTGAAGTTGTCTGTAGAAATCCTCCTTTTTCTCTTGCTCTGCATTATTTGTAGGTGCATAACATTGTATGATTGTGACCTTTCTTCCTTTTGAGTTGAATCTTGCTGTCATGATCCTGGAGGAGATTGGTTCCCACTGCATGAGAGCCTTCGATGCTCTTGAGGACATCATGATAGCCACTCCCTCAGTGTGCTCGTGGTTGGCGTCTGGGTGACCGGAGTAGATTATTGATTCTCCAGTTGACAGTTTGGAGAGTCCACTCCCATTCCATCTGCTTTCGCAAATCCCAAGCACTTCGATGTTATACCTTCTCATCTCCCTTGCAATCTGGGCTGCCTTACTGGGTTCAAACATCGTGCGGACATTCCATGTCCCCACGTTTACTTTCGCTTTCATCGAGAGAAGACACATCGGCCAATTGGCTTCCCGAAGGCTTTCACCAACTGGCGTCATTTCGCCTCTCCGATTCCAGCGGGGAATAAGTTTGTTTTCATTTTTTATATTTTGTTTGTGCTTTGAAGTTTCTTTAGCGGTTAGATTTGTTTTACGGGGTAGGGTTGCTAGCCCTATGCCCAACCTTCCCTCTTTACCCGGGCTTAGGACCGGCTAGTAACTAGTAAACTAGTTAACCAGGGCAGTATCTCCTCCTTTTAGGAAAGCTCATATAAAGAATGAGTAAATTACTGTAGCGTTAAGCTGTCTGAAGTGGTCACTTGCTGCTCCAACTGTAGTTTCTGGATTGATTGTTTAGTTTTAAGAAGAAGCCAAAGAGTAAGTAGCTGTCCTCCACAAGTTGGGTGCAGCTGGAGTAGCAATCTGTGACAACACGGCTGCTATGAATCTGAAGTTGATCACAGAGTAGTCACTTTTGTCAAAGGGTGCAGGTTTCTGGACGGAGCTTACCCCATCTATTTGAGAAAATACTAAGTATAAGACTGATGGGTGCAGTGATAATCGTATCGGATTGTTGCCCTAATGTGCTGAATAACAGCCAAGAAAAGTGATGTTCCCACTAACCTATGATCACGTGAATCAGTTGACGTTTCTGATGTTAGGCTGTCTCGGTTAACTGATAGTGTGTTGAGGTCTTATAAAAACAGATATCATCTGCATTTATCTGTCAAAGTAGTCAGCTTATTCCACAAAAATATTCCGCCCCACATTAGGGGCTAAGATGTAGCACGATCAAGTTAACATTTTGTCCTTTGCATTTCAGTCTGCAAAGTGACATTTCAAATGTTCCACTCCTGTGTATGACTATTTCCATGGGTTTTACAGACAAGGTGTTCTTCACGTAATGGATGACATCCCCATTTCTGCGTGCTAATTTATCACTCCGAGAGAGAACGATTTCGCGTAAGTGTGCTTCACTGTCACTGATCTCAGAAGAGACCAAAGTTTCCAAGATAGCAGTTGTGTTCGGGATTTCTACACCTAATAAGTTACTTCGCTTGGTCTATTTATTCAGCAGACTGCTTGCTACGAAACAATAAAAAAATTTGGTGAGTTTTCGTCCTGTCCATAGAAGTTTTGGCACTATTCTTCTCCCAAGACTCACTATAGGAAAACCTCCTACTTTAAGATCTTTCTCTCCTGCCGCTGATTGAAATTTAAAATCTTTGTATGTTTTTCGCTTATTTTGATTCAGTCAGCAAGAGACAAACCTTCACACCCGGTAACTCCAGTTCCTTGAATTTCATGAGCATTCCCAGAATGAAGTATGTCTCCCTGTTGATTTGAACATAACTTTGAGTAACTGAAACCTGCATAAACCACAAATTGCTTTCTTTTACACGATACCTTTGATAAGGTAACACCTGGCATGATTTTTGATAATGGTTTCGAACTTTAAAGGAGTCATCTTCGAGAAGATCACATGGTTCTGGATCCGTAATTTCTCCATCCCTGTGAAGTATCACAGACGTTTCTCAGAGTCCAAATTTGTCCTTTCTCTGTCAAATGTTGACACTAGGCTCTATGACTATAACCGGCTTCTTAGTGAGTCGCACAGGCAGTATGTCATGTTGTCATCATTTCAGTAACTCAGAAGTAGGTGTAGAGTGTTAGGGGGAGAGGAAAGTCAGTTGATAAGGTCGTGAGCCTTCATCGACCAAGATGCCACCAAGATGCGACATGTGTTGCACATACCTAGTCACCGTCTGCATCATCGCGCAATGTTGGCTGAGGTATGCTCCAAGCGACCAGACTAATACATTGGATCAGTGCAGGCAATCCTTGACCGTTGGCTTGAGACATGTAGGGAGATGCGGACCAGCTGGGTGGGGCCCATGTTACTGCAAACTCTAGTTGATATGGTTCAGAGCCGATATTGGCGACGCAGACGTATCCACACTTCATCTTTATCTTAACCACGACAATGAGTCCAGCATCTCCCTTCTGTTTTTCGTTTCTTTCCTTCCCCACTTCTCATATTACAACTCTTTGCTCCTTGTGCTGATATGAGGTTTGGCAACTTGAACTGTTACGCAGTAATGCCTGGTCCTATGTTGATATTGGTTGATTTTGACTGCTTATTTTTTACCGCTTGTCATTCCTCGGAGTCATCTGATGTAGAAGTCTGACTAAGGTCTGGTTCAATAACCTTAACATTGATGGCCACGAATTGGAATTGTATCCACATTTTGAGCACACGTAATCACCAATTAAATCGCTGAACAGAGTGAGATATGGAGCTCACATACTTCTTCGCGTGGCATTAATGGTGCTCCACCTCCATCTTTTTCTTTGCAAGTCGATCGGGTTTTGTGACCATCATTTCTTAGGCTGGGTCTGCTAACTGGCGCGGTTTGAGAACTTTAATCGGAAATATAGCCTCCTTTTCTCAGTGTTCATCGATTCAAGCTTTTTACTTTAATGTCGGTGATACTTCCCTGCATGAATGGGAGTAAATTGGATGTGGTAAAATAGCAAAATAAACTTTCAATGAAATGATTTCTGTAGCTGTTCCCTGCTCCGTCCGCGATGAACTTTGAATCTAAATTAGTTGCTACAGCAGTTTGATTGCATAAGACTTTAAAATATTTTGTTAAACTGTGCTTACTACTGTTTTCAAATACTGGTTTACAACAGAGTGATTTCCAATATAGACTGGTTTTTTCGATGACTTTAAGTCGTTCCAACATGGTGTTAGGTTTGCTTAACCAGATTTATTTGTTAGATCGTAGTGATGTATAAAATAGATACTGTATCTTGCTTAGTTTGATAAGTCAAGAGAGTTATCGGTACACTTATTTTGGCCCAGTGTACTGATATTTAGTGTTGATTTTTCCTCATGATAAACTTGTGTATTTTTGAATTATTTTTTCAAGTATCTGGTTTCATTGATTACATAGGTGTACGAACTTGCGAATGTATGGAAAGAGAAGTTCACATGTGATTGGATACTAGTATGGAGGTGGTATGTTTCCTTCAACATACAATTTTATATTATATTTTAGAATCTGAGTCCATCCCACAGTTGCAAACCACCTGAACCACCAATCCGGTCTTCTAGCACACTGTAAATACAACTTACTAAGTTTATATTAATAATTTTAGGCACCGACATTCCGTAAAAGTGGCCCCTAAGAAACCACTTCCAGATGTTCCGAAAAAGACTGGCAGACGCAGAAGTAATTTCCCTTTTCATATACACTTCATGCACAGTGTTACATTTTAGTCCTTTAGTTTCAATTTTAAGATTCCTTACCATAAACACCAGTGTATTCGCTTTGATTTATTGGCCTAGCTTGTTAAGGACTAGCCAGATTAACCAAATTCCTGCGTCTCATAGTTCCATATAACCCGTCCCTATAAAAGCTTTTCTCGTGAATTCTAGATAAGCTCCTATGGGTTATACAGTGAAACCAGGAACGCGATTCCCATAAAAATTCTTCCTGATTTGTTGACAAGAATGAAACTGAAGTTTATGAATCAAATGACACCCACTGGCTTCCTTGAATACTGTCAATGAGGATTACATAGTTGTAATTATTTCATCCCATCAGGATCCTGTTTGGCGTGCTAGTAAACCCCAACAAAAGCCCAACCAGTTTTTGGATACTGTATGGAAACCAGCTTATTTATTTCGTGCTAAGCAATGAGTCCCAAGTGACCGGTTGCTACTGTAAGCCCACGCACAACAAATTTGACCTATAATTTAATAGATAAACACTTTCAGAGGATTGAGCTGCGTTTTTGTTTGATTTTTATAGAAATCACGGCACTGAGGATTTGTTTTTCATTCTTAGCTCAAAATATTCCTCTTATCTTATTGAACCATTGAAAAACTGCTGTTTCTGATGATCAACGACAGCCTCATTGCCTTTGGAGATATCTTTTCTGTCCTACTGTCACAAGAAACACCACAATAGGCCTTGCTGAATAAAGTGGTTATTAGTGTAATTGTTGGTAGTAAAATCTGGATTTCGGTCTGAAGGATGACTGATGGGTCGTTAGTCATACCTAGCCATTCAGTAGGATCTCCGAAGAAGCTCGGGCCAAACTTCTGTGCGAAACGTCGGAATTATTTGATTTCAAACACGCTGTGACCTACACAAATACAATCCATATCTAGTGTCTCTCTGAATATAAGTTGATGAAACTTCAACCAATACTATTAGATTATTTAGTTAATCAGTACGGATGTAAAATTATTTTTAGAAACGAGACGTAATCGATAGCAATCGTTACGTGCGCATAAGTGATAGGCAACAACGTTCAGCATAATGTAACGCTTGCAACACCTTTAAATTTAACCTATGAGATATTTGTTATGACTTTCCGACGAAATCATACCTGATAAACTTATAAGCGTGTGGTTTGGGATCCCCTGGCTAAAGACTTACATTACTCTATCATATTTATTATGTACAGTAGTCGTCACTCACGAAGTGAAGTTACAAATCTGTTTGCGATAATCAGTATACTATGGAATGCCTTCCGAATTGCATTTACGATTGGCATGCTAGGTGAAATGTACGTCATCTGTCAACGTACTGTTTACAAAGCCCACTTCAGAATACAACATAACATGTTGTGTGACGTTGAATAATTCTGGTTTCCAAGACTGTTCACATGATGATAACGCAAGTGTTTCTACAATCCTTTCCTCTTCATTTTTGAGATTTCGGCTGAACTGTTTGAGTGTAAGGCGATCAGGTCTAATAAAGATTCAACTTGCATGTAGCTTATAATGGTGTTATTTTAGCCTTCAGAGTCAATTGGACATGTTTATAGATAATGAGTGGACAAACGTTGAATGACCCCACTGCTATTCAGTCACCCTTGCTTAAGTGTCAGTTTTGTATTCAGGAGTGAAGGAAGCATGTAGTTAATCAGTTCGAAATCATTGCAATCAGGAGAGTAAGGCACGATACCTGGAGAGAACTGCGATATGTAGACAGTTAAAAAACGACAGAGAAACAGATGGATGATACTGAATAAACTATTGTTGACACATAACCGCGAGAATTCAGCGGTCACGAAATCAATGTCTTTTAGCAGAAATGTGTCTACCTTTCCCTACCTGGTGTGTTCAGAGGTTTGTGGGCTGAACGATGTTTACTCGTATGCTGCATATTCCTTTGATTTTGGGCAGGACGCAGTTCATTAGATTTATTGAAATCACTAAATTTGTGATGTGTTGCTTTCGTTTGTGAATGTGGATTGTTCATTTTCCTGGATTATCTTGTTCTAATTGAACAGTATTTGAAGCAATATTGTAAAGAAATAGATGTTCCACTTTATGTTTTAATACACAGATTTGACATACATTTACGATTTACAAGTTGTTCACTAAATATTTTTGGTGTCTCTGATGTACTAGTTTGTGGGGAATCAAACTGGTTGCACAGTTCTTTTGATATTTAGAGATGAGACACATAAACCTCTGATCATCACCGGAAGTTGAATGCCGAGTCTTTATACATTAATGCGCTCAACAAACAGTCAAGAACTACTGCTTCTTACTGCCAGCACTGTTTGCCTGGATTAGCGTGCTAACAACGCATATCATTTCTGTTGTAAATCTGTTACTAACTGAGTTTAGAAGAAATCGAAGGAAAACTAATGAGTCCAAATAAAGTGAAGTTGTAGTATTCGCTTCGTTAATTGTCGTTTATGAAGATAAAGTCACTATCTCGCACTGGATAATTTCTGGTGTTTGTTAAAACTACATTTGCTTATTATATAGACCGACTCCTTATTTAGTAAATATTTCGTTAGTAAAAGATATCGCTGACATGAAACACTTTGCATATGTTCAACTGTCGTTCATTAGTTTTCATTGAGATATATTTCTGTAGTAATTTTCGACGCCTAATTCGAATTCTTACTTGTTTATGAATGCTTTTGTATTGATTAGCTTTTGATGTTCAGTACTTTTACTCAATAGTCTTTGTTGAATCTTATTTCGTGATCCTTCTTAGAACTATTTTATCAGCTCTTACTGATTAAGCTACGGATTCATCATCACTCCACCAAAATCAGCTTCATATCCAGGGTTAATTTCACTACCTTGCATCTAATATGCTTGATTAACAGCATAATACAAAAATAACCAATCAATCACTACTTTATTTGTTTTATTATTTTCAATGTTTTGTATTAAATCAGTAAACGTTTGATAAACTAACACTAGGTAATTTGTCAGTCTAAAAAATATCCTCTCGATTGCTGTAAGATTCATCGAAGCGGTAAGTCTTATCCAATTTTAGCTTATGCTTAAATAGTTTATTTTATGGTTATGTATTCAAGTAATTCATTCCTTCAATCGTTTATTTTATTACAGTTAGGTTGTTCAGGTTACCTAAACTGTCTAGTGATCCAAAAATCTCTTCTCCTTTGTGTGTTAGCCATGAATTGCATGTGGCGTATGACGAAAATACAGGCGAATTTCGCGTAAGTTTTTCAAACAGAAAGGAATAATAATATGAAGGTTCCGGTTTTTCATTTAAAATAAGTGTTTCGTTTGAGACTGATTTACGCACACTTAAGGTGATTTTTTCAGAAGTCCAATCCCACTTTTACATTCATGAAGAAACTGATTGACTGTGATTTGATTTAAAGACAATTAGGTGTCTGTTTTACGACGAAAATCTCTCCAAAATATGAATAAGCAATTGTGGCCTGTGTGAAACCTGAAATAACCTAGAAAAGATACTACTCAGATACATAACTAAGTTGCATCATGATGCTAAATGAAGCCGAAAATGTAAGACATGAAATTTCAGTGTACGATTTGAAAGAAAAATGCTGAAGTGAGAAATGAAGCCATCACTGCTAACCTCGGAGTGCTAAAGGTGTTTACCGATGAGAAGTTCCGAACTACTAAGAAATGAAAGCGTGGCGATTCGCAGTTATTCAATGAATTATTCATTGCTTCAATAGAGACCGTTTTTTTAAATCCTGTCTCCTTTATGAGTTTTGCTGTTCCATAACGTTTTGTTTTGATGTAGACATTCTGTCGAAAACATAAACAGACTATTGGGCATGGTCTCTTGTCCTTTCTGATTTGGATTCATTTCCTGAATGTAACTTGGAGAAATTTGGCAGTGAACTTTCCCACCAGTGAAGACATGATTTTCTTCCTAAGTACACTGGATGCAAACGAACAAAAATAACTTAAAAGTGTTTTCGAACCTCTACCTTTGTGAAACAGTAATTTGTAAAACACAAGTTGGCTTTCAACTGTAGCGAAGTTCGCTAACTTGAGCCTAAGTTTTCTTTTAAAAGAGATGACCACAATCGTCAAGAGTTCTGTTCTTATGGCTTCGTGACAGTTTCACCGCTCACCTACTGTTGAGGATTCATCACTTGCTAATAAGTACACGAGTAGTTCCTTATTGGGAAATCAGACGTTGGCAGTTAAACAAAATAGAACTATGTTGATTGCTAACAATGCTGTAGCCGTTGTTCGTTCATGTGGTACAATAACTGCTATGAATTTGAAAGTTGATTGTACTTTAAGGCTTCTTCCGCATGATTTGAGATATAAAAATAGAAAGGTGTAAAGTGTGCTTCGAAAGAAACAAAAAATGTGAAAGAAAAACTCTTCTGTGCTCTTCATTTTGTACATTGTTTCGAAACGTATTTTTCATGTACTTTTGCGAGTCATTTAGAGTCAGCGTAGGATGTCATTGCTGCAACCTTCTTGATCGTTTTGCGTACAAAACTCTGAATAACTCTCAAGTAGCCCATATACAAGAATTATATTCTCTGGACAGTTTTCATCCAGTATGAAGTGTGAACGTTTTTCTGACTGAGTAGTTGACTAACTGGTTGAATAATTTGTCTTCCGCAACTATATTTCTCAGGGAATGCCCGAAGAGTGGTTAGAATGGTTACGTGCTGCTGATATATCTTTTCAAGAGCGTGAACAGAATCCAGAGCTTGTGATCGAAGTTTTACAGTGTTACGATACTGCAAAACATTGTGCGAGGCGACAAAAATTTATCATGACAGAGGATTCTAGTTGGGGTAAGCACCACCTATTTTTGACAATTTTTCTCCTGCTTGCAAGTTAAACACTATTTGCAGGGTAAAGTAACTCCATTGGCTAGGTTTTGACATGTCGTTTTGGTATATTTAGGAATTCCTTTTTCTATCAACATCTGAAAACTGATTTTGTAACTATACACTTACATATATCTCGTCGAGGGTATTAAATGACCCTCATAGCAAATTGGATAGAGTGAGTAACATTCGTAGTATCAGGAGCAAGTACTGGGGTGCGAATTTCACAACTTTATGTAGGGCCGATTTTTCAGACGATATGTTACACTGCGGTTGTTAAATCAAGCTGATTGAAGTTAGGATGTTTAGGTTTCACTCAAATCATCTTTCAATGTTGGTGACTTAAGAACCGTGGTTCATTTTATTGCAAGTATAGTTGGTATCATATTCGCTTAGTTCCAGTGGATTTCACATTGTAGGCTGCCGAGGAATTTTAATTAAAAGGGTTTTCATCACGGAATGACATTGATAGGAAAATATTTGGAGATCATAAGACACAGGACAAACGTCTCACATCATTTACGAACTCTTCAGGACTGCACAGTATGATATCACATAGTATCGAGTCATAGCAGTTTGACTCCGAGGGAACAAGTTACAATCCAGCCACTTGTATGGAATCCAGTTGCCGTCATTTTCCGACTTCCATATATCAGTGATTTCGCGCGACCACCATTCATTACCATAGGTGAGTATCCGTTACCACATCCATTTGGCTGATTTATGAATGATAAATTTATCTTTCAACCAAAAGCTCCCATCCAGTGTTTGAAAAGTTCATGCTGATGACACTTGAATTACTGTTATCATGAAGTATTTAATTCGTTGTTCATTTGGTGTTAATGATTCATTCAGGCATGTTAGTTTGTTGGATGAGGAAAGGTTCCCCTTAACTCGATCTTTTTTAATGATTTTGCATTAACAGAACCCATCCATTCTGTAGGTAATTTTATTTAGTTGTATAATCTAGATGTTGGCATTCTAAATCATTATTTCAAAGGGCGTCTTTTTAGGTGTACTTTCAAAATGTCTTTACGATCTGACAATGAAATCTGCAACAGGCAGTTAGTGCCGCAGCAGGATTACGATTATCCTCCCGTTTGCCGGTTTACTTGCCTGGAAACTTGGGAAGCGTTGACCTATGATGATCGATAGATGCCATAACTTAAAATGTTATATGAATGATGCTCTTATTGTTGTTTTACAAGAGTGCAGAGCTGGAAACCCCTTTTCAAACTCTCGGTAGCTGAATTTTAGAATAAACATCAAGTTTAGTGTGTTACCTCATTTTTATTGAACTTCAGAAATGTGACCGTTTCGTCACATAAAACCTATTTGAAATGGGTATTGGTTAGGTATAAAGAGAAAAATTTTGCTGAAAAAAGCAACCAGATGCCTTTCCAAGTATGTGTGTAAAAGCAAAAAAATGCTATGAAACTAACTGATCTTGCATGGGATAAAATTGAATCGGTGGACATTAGATTCAGATGTGATTGTACTACAAGTATCCTCTGAAAACGATTATCGAAATCTCCAGTTGAGACAATCTAACTGAACATCTTTCGCAAAACATTTAAGCTCAGTTCGCTCATCATTATTGGAAGGAAAGACGTGTGCCCTTTGTTACTTTAGTGCAAGTTCACCAGCCTGCTTTCCTTCTTGGGGCTAAATGCACAAACAGTATTCTATGTTTGCTTGGAATATATATATATATATATATATATATATATATATATATATATATATATATATATATATATATATATGAAGAACACTACTTTTTTGTAGGTGGTAGAGGGAAAACAAAACATTTTGAATTTAAAACTATCACATTTTTTTAAAGCGTCCTTCAAACTTCTGCATATCTGCTGTGCATTAACTTCTAAATGAAAGTTGCTCTTATAATTTTTATCCTTCTTTCTGTATGTTTACAAATTTATAGCTATAAAACTAAATTCGTAGGAAATAAAACAACTTACTCCAGCTCTTTAACGAAATGGACGTGTTTCGTTGATCTGAGAATATTGTCTTAAAATGGGTTCAGTTTCTTGTTATCGGAGAAGTTTAACATTACTCCCTAGGTCAACATTACGTTTAATATAAAACACTATGAAAAACCTAGGCTTACTTTCAGACATTATTTCAATACAGGTATTGTATTTTTTTCACATGAGGCAAGGATAAAATCTCTTTAATCATTCGAAAATCCCGGTCCTTGCTGTGATATAAACTAATATTACCTCTTAACTGCATTTGTGAGGACGGAGAGAATCTATGTTTCCAAAATTCATCACTAACTTTTCGTTTTGGTTACCATATATGAGATAAGCATCGTGTTTAGTTCATCACACGCTTCTTAGACTTCTCATTTATGCTTTAAATGAATGCAGAGTTGTCAGGGTACTGTTTTCTGGATTTTGACTGTGGCTAGACAGATCTAAGGTTAGTTCTGTAATAATAATTCATCTCATAACTAAGTTTATCTACTTCGCTTTATCTCAGCTTATATGTTTGTATCTCCAATAATCAATAACAATAAAACGGATTTTCCTTCTTATTGAGTTCATTTTATTATATATAATGAGTAATTAATCAATTCGAGCTGTAATAAAAAAACTGCTCTTCTGTTTATATCCTCCCTATTTTTCTATCCCTATATATGTATGTGTGCATTACACACTACTTTCCAACAAAAAAGGTGTCTGGAATTACCTAATAAGCATCCTGCATGTTGTTAAATTATTATTTCTCCCTCTAGTTTCCTAGTGGAATATACAGTTTCAGTAAAACACCTCCATTGCACTCCCTTCTCTGCAGTCTTTTCAAACTGGCTCCACGATTGACCACAAGCTCTCATTTCTTCCTCACACGATCTCCTCCATATCACCCTCACCTCGGACACCCAAGTCGTCGTTTCTCATGTGGGTTCCACTCAAGGGCCTGGCACGTGATGTCTCCAAATCGTCTTCTCAGTGTATGCCCAATCCAATCCATCTCCACCATCTTCTACTGCAGATTTGTTGGGCGATGGGTTCTCGGTTGGTTCGTTGCCAGTCAGTCATCCAGAGTTCCTTGTTGCTTATTCTTATTATTCTGGCCATCTGATCCCCATCTTCAGTATCGAGTGAGCGTAGGTGGCAGCTGTTGATGATGTGTGTCTGTAGTTTGTTGGAAATGCTTTTCGTGACGAGTCATATCTCTCAACCATCACATAGAAGCGCTGAGTTGGCGTTGGTGTTGAAAATCTGGATGTTATTCACGCTTCATGCAGAGTGGAGTGCAGTAGATCTCCACACTGGTTTCGGATTAATGGAAGCCTGTCTTGCTGTATTTCCGATCGTGGTTTTCACATCCTCGTCTGTGCCACTGCCGCCTGTAGTCGAAACGATGCTGCCTAGGTAGAGAGGTAGGTGAAAGAGACTGTTTCCTTTAGGTCTCTCCCGCTAACGGTGATTGGCGCTTGTTGGTGGTGGTGGTGGTGGTGGTGGTGGTGGTGGTGGTGGCGTTGGTTGGGTATCCTCATCACCTCTGTCTTCTCTACATTCACTTGAAGTCCTGTTTTCACTGCTTCGCCTCTTCTGTCAACCTGTAAGTTTTCGCCTGTAGATCTTCGAGTTTGTGAGACAAGACATTAGACATAAATCATCATCGTCGGTGGCGGCGGCGGCGAAATCCAAATCTTCTAGGCTCTTTCCATCGGTAAAATAGCATATCCCCCTCTTCTCACTCCTCACCGTTTGCTGCATGATCCAGTCGACCACAATCAGGAAGACCATTGGTGATAGTAGGCGGCAACCTCAACTTACTCCTGTCCCCTGCCTTCACTTCAAAGGCTTCACTGAGTTTTCTATTGTGGATCACTTGGTAGATGGCGATTTCATATAGCTGTTGAATGAGGTTGATGAAGGTTTTTGGTATTCCGTAGTGTTGAAGCAGTTTCCGAATTACTTCTCGGTCGATGCTGTCGAAGGCCATTTCAAAGTCGATGAAGTTGAGGTTGAGTTGAGTTGACTGCCATTCTACGCTCTATTCTATGATGACGCGTAGTGTTGTAATTCGACATGTTGTGTGCATACTGAATCCAGACTCTTTCTGTCGTAATTTTGATTCCAGCGCAACTTTTATTCTCTCAAGTATGATGCGGCATAATATTTCGCTTTGAGTGGACAGGAGCATGATTCTGCGCCAATTCCTGCAAAGACTTAGGTCTCCCTTCTTTCAAAGTTTGACAAGGTAGCCATTCTTACAATCAATCAATCTACAGGTACCTTCCCTTCCTTTCCTACCAAATTTTCTGCAGTAGTAGTGTGAGCGTATCCGCTGTTGTTTCTGTGTCTGTTTTAGAGCTTTTGGTGGAGTTTCATCTGGTCCTACCGCTTTCCTGGATTTTAGCAGCTTAATGATGTTCAAGACTTCGGCTTTTGTTGGAGGGTCTGTGTTCACTGGTGGTTCTGTGGCTGGGCTGCTGGTGGTATTTCTGGACGAGTTGGAAGTGGTCATGGTGGTGGTGGTGGTGGTGTCGGTAGTGGTCGACTCAAGAGTTTTTCGAAGCGGTCAGTCTATCGTTTTCTCTGCTTCTCATCTTTAGCGGTTACAATTTTTCCTACACTATCTTTCACTGGTTTCATCTGCGCTGTGTTGATCTCTTCCCAGACAGTAAGTAACCTGGTTATTTGATATAGTGTTGTTAGGAATCAGTCTCTCCTACCTGCAGCCTGTTCTGCTTCACTTGCCAATGTGTAGTAGAAGTGTCTTCTGTCTTTCCCCACACTCTTCTTCACTTCTTTGTCCAGTGTTTTATGGGTTGTATTCAGTTTCTCTTTTCGTTGTTCATCCCTGCACCGCATTGTACTGGCTCATCTCCTGCTTCACCATCTTCTTCTCCCTGCTCTATCAGCTTCCATGTGTCTGTGGAGATCCATTCCCGGTCTCATCTTTTTTTCTTCCTTCCTAATACGGTTATACAGGTTTCTTTACACATCTCTTTCAAAGATTTCCAGTGTTCTTCCACGCAGGTTTCTTCAGGGATATTGCTCAATGTCTCCCATTTTGTCCTGATGACTGACTAACTGACGTGAAGATATCCTTTACAGTTTGTCCTTCAGTTTCTGTTCTGTGCATTGAACATGAACTGTGATCTATCACCAGCTTCTTCTTTGAAGACTTCCGACTTGATTTGAATGCAGGTTCCTTTCACCGGATAGTGAGTTGTGTGAAACTACGTCTGCTCGTCTACTCGATCTGATCTTGAGTCTTGTAGGCTGTATCTCCTCTTTGTACAGATTGAGATGAAGTCGATCTGATTTCTAGTGTAGTGTGTCCTGGTGTCAGGTGAAATCCATGTCGCTGCCTTGTGAATATCCTTGTGTTTGTACGCACTGCCTCGAATCACGAAATCGTTGAATGCACAGAAATCTGCAAACAGTTCTCCGTTCTCATTCATTTCACCTAGTGCTTCTCGACCAATTATGAGTTCTCTTCTTGTGTTGTCTGCTGCGAGTTTGGGATTCATGCCGCCCATTGGAATTTTGATGTCGCCAACTGGGTTGGGGTCTTTTCCTGTACTGTTTTCAGTTGTCTGTAGAATTCTTTTTTCTTCTCTTGATCTGCATTATTTATAGGTGAGTAGCATCTCTTTGAATGATTGTGGCTTCCCTTCCTTTTGAGTTGGATCTTGTTGTCACGATCTTCATGCTGGAGGAGATTGGTTCCGGGTGCATGAGAGAGAGCCTTCGATGCTCTTGGAAACATCATGAATATCAGTAATAAAATGAAGGAGAAATATGTGCGGAAATTAAGTTAAACTACACTGATTAGTTGCATCGGCTTTTTCATCTGTATTAGTTCATATTTAGGTAGTAAAATGTCTGAAACATAAATAATGAGGTATGAGGTTCATGGAGATTTATTTGTTTCAAGGTTTTATTCATAACGAACTGACACCATCTGGAGAACCATCGAAAACCTAAGAGTTATTTACAACTGTTTCATCCTCAGCGGTGCTCACACACAACCCTGCCAGGTATCGGGCCCAGGACCTTTATATTCGACGTTCAGCAGCTTACCGTTCATTCAACTACTAAATCACTGTACCCGTTAGTGGTATTCTTCTAGATGGATATCCTGAAGTTCTAGTGAGAATCCGTGACCTGTAGGTTAACCAAGTCAGAAGGGAAGGAGATACGCATTGATGACCTTGGATAGTATTCACGTTACATCGTGAATTGGCAGAATTAAAGAAATGTGGATTATTTGATTTCAACCAAGTAACTCAATGATGACACACTCTCCAGAATATCTGGAGGTCTTTGTTTTGATCCCTTGGGGGTTCATTGGTGTGTGCTGCTGAGGATTTCCGTAATAGGAGGAAATAGCTATCCAAAGTTCCCAGGTTTTCAGTGCTTCTCCAAATGATGTCAGTGTGTGATGAATACTACCTTGACATGTAGACAAGTCGCATATAGACCTAGTTTGAGTATAGCTTCACAAAAAATTGTTTAGTGCATGAACTGTGGGGATTTTGAGAGGGAACAAGGTATTCATTGTGTGAAGGAGAATATCAAACTGATCAAAATGTATGGGCAATTAGACAGCTGTCATGTAATATGTCAAAACCAAACATGTTTAGAAATGTGGTCACTTTGCAAAGAAATTGATGTCTGAGTAACGGTATTGTTTTACTGTCATATTATTTCTGTTTTTTTATAATTAGATTTATTCATCTGCATCATTATTACTAGTATGTGATTTTAGCTGATTTATGTGTATAGCAAATCACAGGCAATTTAGTTTTGAAGTTTGTAGGAATTTATTGGTCTCGCATTAGTATTCATCATGTACCAACATCAATTGCAGAATCACTGAAAACCTGGGGCACCCAACAGGGATTTCCTGCTAAAACGGAACTCCTCAGCAGCACACATCCATGACCTTGTCAGGAATCGGATTCGAGACCTTCCGATTTTGCTGCTAGTTACTGTTGAGCCACCGGTTCTCTAGTTGACGTCAGTGCATGACGAACACTACCGTGAAATCACGATTAATTTGGATATGTTTTTCGATAGCAATGTCTAGGGTTTCCATATTTTTACACTAGTTAGATTATTATAGATATTTTGCAGCTGATGTTTTTTGGCACTATGTAATCATAGGAAAAAATATCCCGCCTATTTTCATGGACCAATAGACGATGACTATTGGAAAGAAATGTCGGAATACTGTCATGGAAGTGGACAATTGGCTATTTTTTAAAAATGTTTTTCCTCGTAGACACAAGACTTCCATATGAAACTTAAATAGATGCTGTTATTTCAGTGCTTTCCTTTCTACTTCGATACATAGTTAATATTCGAAAGTTAGATATCCCTTTCAACACAGTTATATGGAAAAACGATCGAAGTAACTTCTCAAAGAAACAGCCAACCAGTTGTCAACTATTACTCCAGATTGTTACATAAGCTTGTGGTCAGTAAACATCTTATGCTACTCAACACATTTAAAGCCAAGCATATATTCCTCTTGATACCTGGCTGTTAAAAATGGTGGCGTAAGAACATTAGAGCGGAAAATTCACTCACTGTAAACAGAACCAGGTTAGTTAAGGGGACTATTGGGAATGGTGAAATCAAACCAACGGAATAAATCATTTTTTGTCCATTCTTTCTTATCTTAATAAAAGCCATAGTGTTTTTGCATATTTCGTTGTTCAGACTTTATATTCCTCATACTAGATCTTTTTTATGAATTATATATCTCTTTTCTTCTAAACTATATTTATGTCTTGCAATCAAAACAGGTTTGTTTGTCATAGTTTGTTATTTTCCTAAGGCTAAACTTACTTGTATTCTTAGCTGTCCTCTCAGTTTTGGTATCTGATCGTGGAGGTTTCAGCAATAGGCTTGGTGACATCAAGAAGTGAGGAATCTTAGCAGGTTGCATAACTGTTCAGGTAGTGGCTTCCTTTGCCTAAGACTTAGTCTTTCTAAGTGGGGAAAGAGTTTCATTACTACTTGATCTGTCTAACTTAAATTCCATCTTTATCCTAAGCTTCGAATTCTTTAGAAAATAATAGAGAGTCAACGATTAGAAAGTAGATTGACGCTCAGCATCAACGCGATAACTATTTTCTGTAAGACCAGGTAAATTACAATCTTAATCTTTATTCATCCATACATATTTATTCTTCACTCACCTGTTTTTTGTATGCAGAAAATATGACAAATAAATTCATTTATTCAAATACTAAACCTAATCATGACATTTATTTCCACTCTCAACAGCAGATATTGAAAGATAAACAATGATAAGCAAACTTCAGTAGTTTGTCCTGATGATGTTATCTAGAATGACAATGTAAGCCGCATTATTAAACCATCTAGCTCAGAGAACACAACACCATCAAAGTCATCCTCCTGAGCTACAAATATCCTCCTAATCCAATTTAATTGAGCATAATGTAGTACGACAACCCAAATAGGTTGACAAATAACACGACTCAGGCTGTCAACGCTTGTTGCATAGGCAGTTATGTGAACTCTAGTATAGTGATTAAGACATTTTGAGAAGTCTATAAAATATATACAAAATAAACTATTCTTACATCACTAACATTATTTCCTTTATAAAATGTGCTCCACGTAATTTTTTTATAAAGCACAGTCAAGTTAACCATTAAATTATCAAATGTCTTACCTCCATTTGACTGAAAGTAATCAATTTGGTTGTAGAAAATTTTGGTAAGATCACTTCATGTATGTGCCATCAATTTATGGATCATGAACATCCGGATAACAATACCTGTAGGAAATTTCAACACAATTCCGCTGGTTCAAATTATTCTGCAAGTTCTCATGCTGTATCTGGTGAATCTGGTCGCTCAGATGTTCTAGTTTTTCTCATTCTTGTCGATTTTCGTACAATTTGCCAACGGATGCACCACCACCACCTGTTCCACCTCATTACACAGTTGTACACCCAAAACTGCTAATTGGGATATGAGTCTCAAAAATGTTGAAAATGTAAGTTTAGACCTGTTTGATTTCAAAATCATTCTAAAACAGTATTTTGACTGCTAACTTATAAACTGTGGTACAACAATGTGTTTCGCAAAACGAAAAAAAGCGATTCTTAGTTTACGTGTTGCAGAAAACTGCACAATCCTCATAGTTGTCTTACCAGATTTCTGCAATGAACTTCCAGTGAGTGCATTTCTGTAAGCTCAACATATGATGCTTTGTAGTGAAAATACATTTCATTGTGGATAATCGTTTGAACTTTAATATTAAAATAAACCAACTATCTAATCTGAATTATTTACGCAAGTGATTTTTACTACGAGGTGTAATGATCGTATATTTTAATATTCTCTAACTTAAGTTTCTTTGGGCAATGAAAACGCAAATTGGTATTTTTATTAGATATTTTATGCTTCTCTTACTATAAATGTTGACTCTATTTTTTTAATGATTACTAAGGGGATTTCATTTCAGCAATGTTGTCATGAAACTTCAGTGCTTACATGCTTTTTAATAATAAACATCCTGTTGGTTGAATTTTTGTCGACCAATACTAATAGTTTGGCAACTGCTTCAACACTACGGAATACCAAAAACCTTTATCAACCTCATTCAACAGCTATATGAAATCGCCATCTACCAAGTGATCCACAATAGAAAGCTCAGTGAAGCCTTGGAAGTGAAGGCAGGGGACAGGAGTAAGTCGAGGTTGCCGCCTACTATCACCCATGGTCTTCCTGATTGTGGTCGACTGGATCATGCAGCAAACGGTGAGGAGTGAGAAGAGGGGGATATGCTATTTTACCGATGGAAAGAGCCTAGAAGATTTGGATTTCGCCGCCGCCGCTGCCGCCGCCACCGACGATGATGATTTATGTCTAATGTCTTGTCTCACAAACTCGAAGATCTACAGGTGAAAACTTACAGGTTGACAGAAGAGGCAAAGCAGTGAAAACAGGACTTCAAGTGAATGTAGAGAAGACAGAGGTGATGAGGATACCCAACCAACGCCACCACCACCACCACCAACAAGCACCAATCACCGTTAACGGGAGAGACCTAAAGGAAACAGTCTCTTTCACCTACCTCTCTACCTGGGCAGCATCGTTTCGACTACAGGCGGCAGTGGCACAGACGAGGATGTGAAAACCACGATCGGAAATACAGCAAGACAGGCTTCCATTAATCCGAAACCAGTGTGGAGATCTACTGCACTCCACTCTGCATAAAGCGTGAATAACATCCAGATTTTCAACACCAACGCCAACTCAGCGCTTCTATGTGATGGTTGAGAGATATGACTCGTCACGAAAAGCATTTCCAACAAACTACAGACACACATCATCAACAGCTGCCACCTACGCTCACTCGATACTGAAGATGGGGATCAGATGGCCAGAATAATAAGAATAAGCAACAAGGAACTCTGGATGACTGACTGGCAACGAACCAACCGAGAACCCATCGCCCAACAAATCTGCAGTAGAAGATGGTGGAGATGGATTGGATTGGGCATACACTGAGAAGACGATTTGGAGACATCACGTGCCAGGCCCTTGAGTGGAACCCACATGGGAAACGACGACTTGGGTGTCCGAGGTGAGGGTGATATGGAGGAGATCGTGTGAGGAAGAAATGAGAGCTAGTGGTCAATCGTGGAGCCAGTTTGAAAAGACTGCAGAGAAGGGAGTGCAATGGAGGTGTTTTACTGAAACTGTATATTCCACTAGGAACCCAAGGGACGAATAATTTTAGTAATAATAAGTAATATAAAAGCACATATCTGCCTACTTATATGATGATAATATGTTTCGTTACATGGATGTGAGACTATTTTGGATATGCTTGGTTTGTTAAGTTTAATGTATTATTCTAGTGTAAATGCGATTCGTTTGTAAGAAAGATTATTACTTTCATACCTTTCCTGAGGAATCACTATTTAGTGATACACAGATAAATAGGTCACTGCTGCTACTACGACTACTTCAGTAAATTAATTTAGAGTTAAACACTGCTAGGCTTGAGATCTTCTGAAATACAGACAGTTTTCATGTTTGTTTCTGGCTGGCTATATCTTAATGAGCAGCTGAGTGTTTTGTCATTTCTGTGTGGTTGTCGAAAGTAGTATTGAATTTATCTATATGATTAATAAAGTATACGTTTTACAATTGTGCGTGAATAAAACAGTGTGATATGTGTTACTTTTCAAATGATTGTCAAACGTTATATTTAAAAAGGCTATGATAATATATGCCACATCGACAACAGACGAATTTTGGTTTCTTTTCCACTTTGTATATGAAAAAATGATGTGCACCCTTACGCATATAGCTGACCAATGGTTTACACAAGAGATCATTACTTTGTGATCAGAACAAATGATCATATTTATGGAACTGTGGAGAAGAGTTGTAGCTCAATATGAAGGTGATATTTGTTTAATGTTCTCTGAGGTGTGAGATTTGTACACAGACGTTAGACCACCAGGCTAGCCTACTTTATTAGTATTTACTTCTTTGTGTTAGGTTAAGTAGCAGTAAAATGTTTTGATGGGTTGTGTTCTCTGAGCTGAATGGTTACGTCGTGAAGCCTACATCGTCAGCACAGACTCTAGAAAGAAGTGACCCTCAGGGTTTTTTCTGCAAGCTACCCGTCAGCTTGTCCTGGTGGCGTTGTGTTTCATTGGTTCCTTCTGTCGAGGTCCTGTCATTCTCCCTATGCTTATTTTGATTGGTTGTCCTGCCGATATAAACTTTGATCTTCTTGTTGGTTGGCAGTTTGGGTCAATGTCAGTTTGTCTGTTGATTGGTGATTGACCTGAATATCAACCTTCTAAAAATCCTCTGCCATCCTTTGTGTTTCCTCTATCTAGGATTGCCACATTACCTCAGTCAAATCCATGTCCACAGTTTTCCGTATGCGTTGATATGATGGAGGATATGTTATGACGCTTCACTTCTAGTTGATGTTCATGTAGTCGGATACGAAGAGTCGGACCACTGTATCTGATGTAGTGTTTTTCCCAGTTTCTGCAGTTTATTTTGTAGATAATGTTTGATTTGCTCTCCTTTGCTATTGTGTCTTTTGGCCTTCATAACAGAGAGTGAAGATATTTTGTGGGCTTGTGACATACAGCGATTTCAAAAGGCTTCAACAGTCTAGTAGTGATCTCGGAAACATTCTTCATGTCAATTATTTTAATTTCCTTCATCCCACTGAAACCCATTTTTTAGGTCACTTAAATCAGAATTGTTCTAAAATAATCTCAAGCTTTCGTCAAGCAACTTTTCAGATAAAACTCTTCAAAGGATGAAAACCTTACTGACTTGTTGATCATTTCAATAAGCTCAATGATTTTGCCACTATCTTTTCAGTCATTTTTTTATTTTCTTCACCATCATAACTGAATTTAACATTGCGTATACTATTCCTGAAAGATTCTTTGATTTATTTTTATAAATAGAATAAAGAGGCCTTACCTGCGGAAAGAATTAAATCTGATTCACGTTTAGAACAGAAGTTATTATCTGGTAACGACATTTGTTTTGTGGATGCTAATGTAGATTCTGAACGTGAATCATCACAGTTTTGTCTTTCAAGTTTGCACCAATACTTTAAGGCTTCTAATGAATGCATTGATTGCGAATCGATTCGGAGTTATTCTAACATATTTTACAGTTCGATGCAATTAGATGAAATAAATGTTTCTGAAAATTGGATCAAAACGAATCACAGTTCGCAAATCCTGATAATAGTGAGGAAGAAGGTGGAACAGGAAATAAATGTCAAGCTGACGTACATAAGGATCAGAAAGGTAAAGATATTACATGTAAAGACAGTCTTGAGGAAGAAAATGATTTCATGGTTGAAGCAGAACCGTATGGAGTGGAGGAAATAGAAGTAGATGAATCGGAAAGGATATCTGATATTATTGCTGGGGATGTTGCTGACCAAATCGCTAAAGCTGATGAAGTGAGTACATTATTCTGTAGAGTAAATGCCAGTTTAAATGTCACAATCTTTATAAAATTAAGCTTGGTTCAGAATAATTTATCTTGAATGTTCTTTGCAAAAGTTATTTTATGGAACGTAACAGAAAATCTTCTGAAGAAAAAGATTCGTAAGGTTATTTATATTTCTCACCGTCCGTTTATAAGACTTATTGTTCTTTCAATATGTTTGTATCCCTCTGCTTTAATTCATTTGCATCATGCAGACGAAGACACAGATTAAATTCAAATGACTATTAAGGAGCGATCAGCATATGCTGTTTCTTGCAGTGAGAGAATGTGCCTACAAAAATAAAAATAAGCTTGAGTCATCTTCGAAGATGCTTACAGGTTTTCCAGAAAGAAGTTTACAGAACATCTAGAAATTAACACAACCACTTGAAAACAGCAATACCAGTCATCAGAATGATAGCACTTGTTTTTGAAAGTAGCCACGAGCGCTCCATCACGTACTTGACTGTAAGAGAAAACTAACAGTATTTATGGCTGAATTCCAGTTAACATTTAAAACGAACACCGAGAGGATAAAATTCATTATAAATCATATGAAAATAAGGTAGTTAATGATACAATACAGATTATTGAAAAACCATTTGTATTAGGCTGCAACATTCTATATTTATTGATTGAATCAAAAATTAATTCCGGCGCTTAAATTCAAGACACCAAGAATAAAATTTGAAAGGTGTTATAGTACCACTTGCTAATATTCAGAGCGACTTAACTTATTCTGTTATATTTAAAACACTTTCGGAAATCGATTCGTAAACGTATTTTAAAGTTAAATAGAAACACTAAGCATGTTATATTTGGTTTCTAATTCATATTTGATTGACCCTTGATTGATATTGATATAAACTTAAGTGAGGAATGGCGTAACACTTGTATAAAAGTCAGTTAACTGTTGAGTTATGTGATTCGTCAGCAACTAACATCAAAACGATCCTTACTTTATTGAAACAGCATATTCTCAGGAGGGTAGATACAGTAAATGTAATGAATTTCTAAAACTCAGTGTGATCATGAAGTGATTAGATTTATACGATAAGACTGTATGGTATTGTACACGTTCGGTTACGATCCTTCAGATGCTAAGAATTAGTGGTTAGAAAACCTCGATAACAGTGACTCAATACTGATCAAAATAAGTGCACCTTTATTTTTTTATCTTTTTCCAATAATGGGATAGCTTATTATTCTGTGTATATTTCGCCTTTCCACCTTGAAATGCACTTTTTTAAGCACTTAAGTCTCTGAGTAATGAAAGAATGTATTTAAGTAGTCTTGAGCTGATAACAGATTCTTTGTTGTTGCAGACAATGTGCTATCTTCTTAAAACTAACAAAGAGTGTTCTTAACTTGAAATCAAACCTAATTTGACATTCAAATATGTGCTGCGACTTTTGGTCAAGCACTGTTAACAACCATTTCTTGCGAACAGTAGAAATATATGGATTTATTAGTCATGATACAAAAACTGTAGGCTCGAAATACTTCTGTAGATCATTTCTCAAGAGTTTGAATGATCATTTTTATAGTAAATCTGGTTATATTAACCGACCGGTGATTAGTTACTCGGCTGAATGTACACTGCTTATTTGAGTTTATGATAGTTAACCACTTCGATGGACAAACTGTTCTCACTAATTAGTAACTCAATTAACAAATGGGTACTATAATTTCGAGTACTGTTACCGTACGTAACCATTACTACTTCGGTAATTTTCAAATAAGTATAATTTTACCGCATCCTTGACTGAATTTATGACTGTGTCTAATTAAAACCTTCCTATATCATAATCTACGGATAATTGCCGAATTTGGCTAAGATTGCAAAATCAAGACAATTATTGAGAAAAATATATAAATATTCGAAACAACTTTAGATGATAACGAATTCATATATCATGTTCATATTTGTGAGTGCCTAATCTCTTACTCATGTGAAATATGTGAACTTTGATAAACAGTACCACAGAATATTTTTAACTTTGAAGAATGCATTTCGTTTTCATAGTGTCTTCAGCTGAAAGAAGTTTTATGTGTACATTATGGACAGAATCTGAAAAAAAGCAGTTTGCGTTTGTTGAAAATGTAGATATAGGTTGTGTAATTGGAAATAAGGATTCAATTAAAGCAGTTCAGACGAATTTCACTAAATGCTTTAATATAAGATGATTCTTAGTTCAGACATCTATATAATTACACAAGGGGGAGGGGCAGGGGTAAGTCTTTAGACAGTTCCCTTGTTGTTCGGTCCATTCTTTTGTACTGAATACTGTATTCGAACATTTCATTAAACATCGAATGTCTTTTTAATGTTGAGCAGTATACTGATTTTACGAATTGGGGGAAACTGACAATCTTCGGAACTAAGTGCTGCATCATTATTTTTGGTTTGGTATGATCAGGAAGATATAAACATGCAGGGGCATTTTCCTACTCAAGTACTTTTATTAGGAACTACTTGAGATGATTTAATGAACCATAGGATGTTCATAAACATTTTTAGACACGATTTCAGAACCTGTCATATTGATTGACTACTTTTCCATCCATAACTTTTCTGAAATTCTGATATTAATTTTTTAGCTTCTGGAAGCAAAAATGGTTTGGAATTTAGAAGCTTTTCTGTAGGAGACTTCTTTTACCCTTCTCTTCTAAACTACCACAAATCATTTATAATATTATTATTTGTAGTATTGACTGAAGGATCAACTTACAGGAAGTAATAACCTCGACATTAACTCATGCTTCTGGTATCAGTTATGAAACTTATGGTTCTGGCTTCAGTCTTCTGGTCATGTGGCCTGTAATTCGTCACGACCTGCTCCATTAACTAACATTTACTTGATATCAAATCTTCATGCGTGCACTTTCACTTACTGAAGTGCCAGTGAGCTATTACCAGGTGTTTGGACGCCTTTGATCGACTTAAGCTTTCTGCAGTGTCTGAAAATTCAACAACCTAACACCAGGGGTTTACTTCTAGTATCACGCCACTGGCATATTTAACTTCGTTTCATCGTAACTTTGACGGAGAACTTTTGAGAGTTAGATTCAGTAGTGTTACGTACTATTATAACAGTAAGCTCAGATAATATTAGAACTGACTTCAAGATTATTTATCGTTGTCTGCTGGACTTTTTTCTTCCAGAAATGTGCCCAGCATTACCTTTATCGCAACCAGAACCTAATGGAGCTGAAGCTATGCTTTTCGTAAAATTATCAACCAGAGGGCATATTCCAGACCCAGTCAGCGCTTATGAAAAATATTTAGTAACTGCAGTTGATGATATTACAAAAGGTTTCTTATATTGTAAGTGACATCTGTACGATCACACCTTTGGTATTTACTACTGTGAAACACAGAAGGTCTAGACCTTGATTGATTTCTTAAACTGAATGACCGTACAAATTGTTTGATAACTGGCCAGTACGGGATTACTTCCGATTTTGCATCCAAGAATGCGGTTACAACAAGCAACTCGTTAAGGTTTACTATAACTTTCATATTGGCTGTTGGAGTAAGTAGTCTTTTTCATTTATCTGTTCTTCAGTCAGATATGTAGTTAGTAAACAATCGAAGACGTATACATCAGTCCCACTACGGTTTTGCTTCCAAGCCCCCTACAAGTTACTATCGGTCAGAAACCAAAGGCAGAATTTCAATTTAAATTTGTAATTAACTTTTGTTGAGCCGCGGGATGAGCAATTGATATAAAATCTTCAAAACTTGCAAAGTGACCACCTACGATAATTTGCACAGTTGTCTGGAGGTCAGGACAGTTAATAAGCATACGATTTCTTAACTTGTTTTATAGACTCAATATTGATATATTAGCTGCCATGCACTGAGTCGAACTAGCATATTATATTAGAAACTTACACATTATGAATAGTGGGGTAAGTGTTTACCTGCCACTTTCTACAACCCTTAGCCAAATCACTTTCTCGTAATATTAATTTCATCAATGAACAATAAATTGAAGGGTAGGATTATATACGACTTTTAAGTGAGTGCTTTGTGGAATGTATGTTTTTCAAGTTATGAAGGTGATTGATACATTATAACTAATACTATGTGAACAGTTTTACTTAAATGATTCCGACTAATCAGTTAATATATATCTCGTATTCTTTTTAATTGCACACATAAATGTTCCAGAGCACAGTGTTCAACGTAAGTAAAATTGATTATTGTCGACAGTTGAAAATATTATCATAAAATAATACATAGAAGTATGCAGAATCAATAATAACTTTTGGTTGCGTTTGTCTGATAACGTACGAAATTTTCCGAACGACCACTTCAGTCTGAAGAAAATCCTAGTAGGCTGTAACAATACTCTCAGTAATCTGAAGGTTTAAATTGGCTAACTAATGTCTCACTGAAAGGTTTCTTGATTTTTTAAGCAGTTACATATACTTTAAACTATGAAAAACAATAATAAAGGCTAAATACATTATATATCTATCTATTACACGGTAAGGTTTGGAAAGCTCTTGCGATTAGAGATATCGTGGGATTCACACACATCTGTGGAAGCTTTAAAAACTGACGTGGCCGAGTGTGAGCAGTTGATCACAAGCGCATATATGAAGCCTACCATAGTTCTCAATCACTATATACGAATTGACTCCATGTTTATAAAGTTGTAGATATTCAATACAGAATGAAAAGTCAGAAGATAGGTAGGTAGCACCTTATTTACCCTAGAAAGAAGAAGTTCCTATGAAAAAGACTCTTTGCCAACCTTTCATCTTACATAATGAATTTATTTTTGTGAGTACTCTTTATCCACTGAAATGTTATTTGAAATATATTGCCTGAAATAATATTTAACTCATACCCAAATTAACTGGAAATTTTTATAACTGAAACTTTGTAAGTTTATTGACTTGAATTCCAGCTGAAGAAGGTTGTTTGAAATTATTTTGGGGATTTCGAACACTCCAAGTTTGTTTTTAAGATACCGTAGAATATCTTAAGTTTGATAAATGTTAGGTTACCTTTAAAAGGTCATTTTTATCGGGTGTGATAATGGAGATGGTGCATATTTGTTACAACATTTGTTACTACGATACTACGCAAAACTTGAAAAAATATTTCAGTATTCCCAAAGAGTTTATCAGGGCAGCCACTTTCAAAGTACTGGTGTGAATCATTTTGGTGACTTTAAAGGCCACCCTCGCAACAACTGAAATAACCAATTAGATTTCTTAATTTTATGAAAATTTGCCTTACCAGTAGAAATAAAGAAACATCATTGGATATTTTAGTTGTTGCTTGGGTGGCCCTTGAAGTCAGTTGAATCCCTTAGATTGAAAAAGAAATTTATTTTCCAGCTGAATGCATCTAACTTATATTTAGATGAGATCATTATTAAGCTTCTGTACAGAAGCCCAGTTTAAGCACAAATTTTAACATAATGATGCCATACCGTTGCATACATTAAGCAATATTTCGAAGGACAAAAATTAAGTTTTGAAATTCTTTGTGTTATTAGTAAGTCTCCTGATCCAAGTAAACAGTAGACAAACATTTGTTACATTAAACTAGTTTGTTTTTATCAGTTTTCCATAATTGTTCACTATAACACATGTTCTGATGCACTTAAATTTAGTAGTTATTCTACTTTTGAACACAAAGTTTTGTTACTTCTATTTTGATTTGAAAATTTTCCTACTTTTTGTTATATTTATTCTTACGTGTACACACTTCTTCCAGATCAACTTTCAGGACCATTCATCCTTGATTAATTCAACGAACTGGCAAATATTTTGTTGTATTAGTGAAGCAGCATTCACATCAAATGCAACAGAATCTGCATCACCTGATTTACAGATATGTTTGGCTCAGCCAGGTAACTTAGTATTGGAATAAAATTTTTAATTTCATTCTAACACTTTGGGATTGTAATATTGTTAAATATAACGAAAGAGGTTAAGTTAAGGTAGATCCTAATAGATTAGCTTTAATATTAAAAATAGCAGCAGAGAACAAAATCCAGTAGTATAGACTTTATATCAGCATAAATATAGTTTTTTCTTTTCAGGTTTGCAATAAGTAAGCCAGTAATTAAATACAAGCGAGGATTTCTAATGGTCTGTACAATAATGGAAATATTTAGAAGTATGGAGGTGAACTTTATCTGAAGGTTCAGAAAGTAAACTAGTGAACAGGTATTTGCTAAACAAACGTTCAAAGGAAGTGTAATAATGACCAAATTTAACTAGTGATTAGAAGTCACGGAAACAGGTGGTACTGCTGCATACGGAAAAACTAGGTGAATACCCATCTAAGGTCACTTTAGACTTCAGTAATTAATTACCATAAATTAATGGAAGCAAGTATGTTGGGACACATCGCTATTGGCTTTCTTGAATACTTTTCAAGTTACCTTGATCTTGAAGGACCTAATGACATCAACAGCTTAACTATGCATAATTTTCTAAACAATTAAAATGTTTGGAAAACAATGAACAAACGGCTTTTTTCAGAATAGTCCGATTTCCAGAGGCTTATTTTTGAAGCTAAAGCATGGTAGGTACTCAAAAAGACTCGATTTTTAACCTTTATAAGAACCTTTTGTTATTTCATCACCTCTTCTGCGTTATCGATAGCCTGGTTTGAAATTCATGGTTACCTCCTTACAGACTTAATTTAATGCTCTGGATTCTCTGAGCGCCGGTGGTGTGAAGCTTGTTCTCCAGTGGTAATGCATTTAAATCTCTATCCCAAACTCTTTAAGAATTCATGTGTGACCAGTCTCAAGCAGATATTCCTTTGGCTGTGAAATCACTCGCTACCATTATTAAAACAATTCCTCTTCCAGATACCTCAAGAACGACTGACTTTTCATGATTTGGGCGCCCAGATATTCTCAGTCACTCTCACACCTGTTGATACTCAAGTTACTCAGACAATTATCAACCTTACACGCTTTCTCCTCCTAATATCTCTTCACATTTCCCTGTCAATACTCTAACATATCCTCTAATTTTTCTTAGCCCTGTAGTTTGTGGAACAACATTCCTAGTTTCTTGTAAATAGGGTCGAAACTACATTGTTGAGCCCTACGGGTCCATACCCTCGGTCAAATCAGACATAAAGCTTCTCTAGGCAAAAATGTTGTACCTCATGGTTTTGTGGTTGGTTATTAAGGGATGAATACAGATCCAAGTGTGGTTATTCATTTAACCTTGTCCGCAGAATATGGCAAATTTGTCAAATTAATTCTTCCAGTTTCTGGAAATTCGACATCCAGATCCAGCGACCTCACAGGATTACGATTAAGTCTTGGAGCAGAAAGCATACTGCTTGACTGGATCTCAGTTGTCCAAATTAATGAACTTTCCTTTTTTCGTAAAGTCATCATGAAACTTCACAAGAAAACTTTATAATGGCTAAACATGATTGACCTAAACCAAGTGATTCTTGGGTTCCGCGAGCTCACAAAAGTAATCCATTATGCTTCCAGTATTTTGCAAAAATAACTTCCATAACGTGAGGAGCCCATAGTTTCTAACCACTTTCACTGTTTCGACGGTATACAACGCTTAACTAACCGAAACCTAGCCTTCTTACCTCGGCCGCTTTCTTAGCATTGACTTCCCGAAACCAGCATTGCGCATTTTATTATTCCCTTCAACTTCTCGACCGGTGACTGCCACTAACACTCCAAATATGCCAAAACCATTTCTGATTTCCTAAAACCATACTGTTAGTTTAAAATTGAGGCTTTCAACATCCAAACCACATTTTAATAAACACAGCAGGCGTCGCTTGCCAAAACTCAAACCATCTGTGCATGTTTCCTTCTTCAGAGGCGCATTCAAGGCTGAACTGTCATTGTTCACTTAGCGCGGCCTAACTAGTTTGGTAAATGTGCTAAAGTAACCTCACAAGTGTCCAAAAATCTAATGGCTAGCTGGCTCTCATAGACTCACTTGTATAGGTGTTATACTACGTTGTCGAACAGAAAGTTCACTGATTGACTGAATCCCAGTCGATAAAATTCTGTGTACTGTTTAGATTAAAAGTATGAAAACTGGGAAAGATCGTGATACTCATCGGTGCCTATTCATAGTCTTCACCTACATGTCCAGTGTTTGTTACTAGGGTGATTCAAAAGTCAATTTCTTCCAAAAACTGGCACTTTTCCTACATAAGACCAAACGTTCAGTTATAATCATGTAGTGATCTACTTGATCATTTAGGTAGGAAAACAGTTAATCAGAAAGGAATTCTTAGGGTATCTACAGTATTCCATACCAACGAACCAACAACAGTGAACACCTCTTGAAGTTTTGTTCTGACAACCACTTATTTCCGGAAAGTGTTAATTACAAAACTGAGGAGAGATATTGTTTCATTTAACTTTCACTAGCATCACTTCCTAGATGGATACAGACAGCTAAAATGAATATCGACCATAGCTGGAGAAGATCGGTGGGTGGCTGTTGCTCCTTTCTCCCTACGTGTTTGTACTTTGATCAAACGTTGGTACAGGTATGTATATGCTGTCACCTTAATGACTTTAGTTAAAATCCTGTGTGTTCTCAACTGAAAAAGAGACAAATAAGCATTTATTTGAATACAGTAGTAATGATGTCTGGTGTAGTATTTACTCTGCTTCAGAGACAGAAGTAAGAGCACTTGGCAATCTACATCAAAAGGTTATCAAACCGCAGAGGATTTCCATAAATGTATCTCAATTGATTAATGAGAAGAGACTAATTCTATCAGTTTCTAATAGCAATGATGATAGAAAGCAGCTCAAACATAGATTGGCTAAGAGTCTTTCCAGTAATCGTGAACAACAATGAGTGGTGAAATCTGAAGAGATGAGAAAGACATCAGCATTAGTTAATACTAGAGAACCATTGAAGCTAATTAGAGAAAGCGGCAAGGTAAAGATGCTGGTTAGTGAAACTTTCACTGTAAAAGCTATTTCCGCGATAATCTCTTAGGACGAGCAATCACAGCGTTGGATGGGACACTATGAAGGACATTTCAACTGCTTTACAACTATCATTTAGTTATTCTTAAATGCTTCCCTCGAGTAGAACTAAAAGTCCTCATACACCAGGTGCAGCTCACAGGCTCAGTATTACCTCAAGTTTCATTCTGAATCTGTTTGCTTGGTGATGATTTGTGGAGGATTCCAGAACGCACGTTTCGTCCTATTTGGGATTCAGCTGTCAACTGGATGAACCTGCACTTCAGTGAGTGATTGTGTTCCTACTGACACTCTTCACTGATAACTAAGTTTCTGAAATCATTTGCTATAAGTTGTATGCATATGCAGTCTTAAAGAAGTCATGAATATTAGACTTTTCAGGCTATATATCTGCATGTATTATATCTTGACTTAGATGTTCTGTATTTGGCCTAGAAGATCTAGATTTTAAAGAAAATTGAGTCGTCACTGAATTTAAGCCTACAGTATATGGTTATACTGTGGTTAATAATGCTATATCCCAGTTTCATCTTGGTCAGTGGTATATTATTAACAGAAATGCAGTTGTTAGTAGTTTGTCTATCTAGTCATGTTTTCGATTTTATTCTGAATCCAATCTGAATTCGATAAGAATTTGGACTCATTATTTCTGAACTCCTGACCGTGGTTTATTTCTTTTCGTAAAAATGTTTTTTTAAACAGCTATCAAAGGCGTCTATAAAGCGGTTCTTATTGCATTAACAACTGGTCATCCCTTTGTGGATGTATGCAACCTAGTTCGATTTCATCCCAAAAGTCATGAAAACCTTAAATCATTGTTATATATATATATATATATATATATATATATATATATATATATATATATTGAAAAGTTGTTAAGCGTCAATATTTATCCTATGTCAAAGTCTTAAAATACTATTTATATGTTAGTTACAAAACATCAAAGAATCTGTGTGACATACCAGCGTTCTTCTAGTTTCTTGCACTAGCTTTATTTTATAATTTAGTTGATAGTCCAATCTACTCACTAGTATTTCGACCATTTATTTAGAATGAAACATTATTATAACTGATGCATAGCCGTGGTTTCAATAGCTTTGTTTATTTCAAGTAAAAGTGACCATTTTCGACCTGTCAGATCTCTCTAGAAATCGATTTTGGTTGAATGGGAAGTTTCATCGACCCAATTCACCGCTTGTCTCTATATTTAACCAACTGTCATTTAGGGATACATCTGTATGTGTGTTTATGTATAGATTATGCATTCCTGAAATTCAAATCCTATTCGACACTACCCAAATCCACACTAGAAAAACAATAATGTTAAAAATTAAACTGGTTGAAATGCCTAATTTAACTTTCTTCTCTTATCTAGAGTCAGAGTTTCATGTATGCAGACAGAGGGGAATCGATAAAAATCGACCAATATGAAAAGCGAAAATATTCTTCTTTAAGTGTAGTTTATTTTGTTATTCAAGGAACAGAAATTTTTAGATGAATACTTTCAGAAATTCTTTACATATAATTATTAGAATTTCACCTGTTTCTTGCACTAAGAAATGATGTAGTATGATAAATATTTGTAGTAGTGTTGCGTATAAGTTTTTCATTGGGTTAAGCACTCGACTTAAAAGCAATGAGTACCAAGTTTAGATCCTTCCAAATACTCTGACCAGAGCTGCCGAGTAGCATCGCAAGTCCTAACACAACATGTGTGACTCCCAGCCTAGTGCATAAACAGGCACCAGGTTGAATTGTATCAATATATATATAAAGATAGGTACACATGTACTTTAAGCGAGGAACTGCACCTTCATTAAGATGAGATATACGCTTTCTTGACATCAGACAGTTAACAAGTGATATTTTCGAACATGAATCATTGTAAGAGAAACATCGATCTGGTTCAGCTGAAAACGGAGAACTGCAGTTTTTAATGTAGAATTATACTAGCTGCATAAGAAGTGGCCACTGTCACTCAGCAACTAGGTTCATAGCGCTTTGATATTTGGTGCGATTACTGCTGGGTTAGAGTCTTGTTGGGGAAAAAGTCACACAGTGATGGGTTAGTACATCCAAATAATAGTACCTAGATTGGTAAAAACATAGGTTCATGACTCCACTGCCAGCTATTATTCATCATTTCTGATGAATGAGAAGCCTGACCACTATTATGAAATCGTTCTGAGGATACATCTTCGCTTCTGTTAGGAAAAAAGTGTCAGTACTTGTATGATACTCTCTCAGATTAAGATATACTTATTCAGGGAAAGAGAATGTACATAAATGTACAATAAAACAGTACTGAGTTGATGATAACAAAAAAAGTTTCAACCTTCAGTCATATCAGTATAGCCATATGTCATTACTTGTGATGGAATTTAGTGGCTGAACTGGAGTTGACTTTAACAGATTTTTCCCATTTGCAATTTGTATTGTTTAACCGCACGAATTAGCTTTCCGTTGTCGTGTAGAGGAAATCACATATTTCTGTATATTGTTGATGAAACTGTTCATCCCATAACAATTAATGAAGATTCTAAGTACATAAAATGGTAAAATATTGTATGAAAAGTACTTACTTCTGTATGGTAATGATGGGCAGTGACTAAAAACAGAATTCAAGATGCTCATTTCGTCTTATTCGGGACTCGTCAGCTGGATGTGCCTGCCTTCCAGTGAGTGATGTTGTTCCCACCGGGACTCCTACTCAGGAGCGATCGCCTAAAACTCAACCTCATCTCGGACACCCAAATCGTCGTCTCGCATGCAAGTGCCACCTGAGGGCCGGGCACGTGATGTCTCCAAATCGTCTTCTCAGTGTATGCCCAATCCAATCCATCTCCACCATCTTCTACTGCAGATTTGTTGGGCGATGGGTTCTCGGTTGGTTCGTTGCCAGTCAGTCATCCAGAGTTCCTTGTTGCTTATTCTTATTATTCTGGCCATCTGATCCCCATCTTCAGTATCGAGTGAGCGTAGGTGGCAGCTGTTGATGATGTGTGTCTGTAGTTTGTTGGAAATGCTTTTCGTGACGAGTCATATCTCTCAACCATCACATAGAAGCGCTGAGTTGGCGTTGGTGTTGAAAATCTGGATGTTATTCACGCTTCATGCAGAGTGGAGTGCAGTAGATCTCCACACTGGTTTCGGATTAATGGAAGCCTGTCTTGCTGTATTTCCGATAGTGGTTTTCACATCCTCGTCTGTGCCACTACCGCCTGTAGTCGAAACGATGCTGCCCAGGTAGAGAGGTAGGTGAAAGAGACTGTTTCCTTTAGGTCTCTCCCGTTAACGGTGATTGGTGCTTGTTGGTGGTGGTGGTGGTGGCGTTGGTTGGGTATCCTCATCACCTCTGTCTTCTCTACATTCACTTGAAGTCCTGTTTTCACTGCTTTGCCTCTTCTGTCAACCTGTAAGTTTTCACCTGTAGATCTTCGAGTTTGTGAGACAAGACATTAGACATAAATCATCATCGTCGGTGGCGGCGGCAGCGGCGGCGGCGAAATCCAAATCTTCTAGGCTCTTTCCATCGGTAAAATAGCATATCCCCCTCTTCTCACTCCTCACCGTTTGCTGCATGATCCAGTCGACCACAATCAGGAAGACCATGGGTGATAGTAGGCGGCAACCTCGACTTACTCCTGTCCCCTGCCTTCACTTCCAAGGCTTCACTGAGCTTTCTATTGTGGATCACTTGGTAGATGGCGATTTCATATAGCTGTTGAATGAGGTTGATAAAGGTTTTTGGTATTCCGTAGTGTTGAAGCAGTTTCCGAATTACTTCTCGGTCGATGCTGTCGAAGGCCATTTCAAAGTCGATGAAGTTGAGGTTGAGTTGAGTTGACTGCCATTCTACGCTCTGTTCTATGATGACGCGTAGTGCTGTAATTCGACATGATATGTGCATACTGAATCCAGACTCTTTCTGTCGTAATTTTGATTCCAGCGCAACTTTTATTCTCTCAAGTATGATGCGGCATAATATTTCGCTTTGAGTGGACAGGAGCATGATTCTGCGCCAATTCCTGCAAAGACTTATGTCTCCCTTCTCTGAAAGCTTGACAAGGTAGCCATTCTTACAATCAATCAATCTACAGGTACCTTCCCTTCCTTTCCTACCAAATTTTCTGCAGTAGTAGTGTGAGCGTATCCGCTGTTGTTTCTGTGTCTGTTCTTAGAGCTTTTGGTGGAGTTTCATCTGGTCCTACCGCTTTCCTGGATTTTAGCAGCTTAATGATGTTCAAGACTTCGGCTTTTGTTGGAGGGTCTGTGTTCACTGGTGGTGCTGTGGCTGGGCTGCTGGTGGTATTTCTGGACCAGTTGGAAGTGGTCATGGTGGTGGTGGTGGTGGTGTCGGTAGTGGTCGACTCAAGAGTTTTTCGAAGCGGTCAGTCTATCGTTTTCTCTACTTCTCATCTTTAGCGTTACAACGTTTCCTGCACTATCTTTCATTGGTTTCATCTGCGCTGTGTTGATCTCTTCCCAGACAGTAAGTAACCTGGTATTTGATATAGTGTTGTTAGGAATCAGTCTCTCCTACCTGCAGCCTGTTCTGCTTCACTTGCCAATGTGTAGTAGAAGTGTCTTCTGTCTTTACCCACACTATTCTACACTTCTTTGTCCAGTGTTTTATGGGTTGTATTCAGTTTCTCTTTTCGTTGTTCATCCCTGCACCGTATTGTACTGGCTCATCTCCTGCTTCACTATCTTCCTCTCCCTGCTCTATCAGCTTCCATGTGTCTGTGGTTATACAGGTTTCTTTACACATCTCTTTCGAATATTTCCAGTGTCCTTCCACGCAGGTTTCTTCAGGGATAGTGCTCAATGTCTCCCATTTTGTCCTGATGACTGACTAACTGACGTGAAGATATCCTTCATAGTTTGTCCTTCAGTTTCTGTTCTGTGCATTGAACATGAACTGTGATCTATCACCAACTTCTTCTTTGAAGACTTCCGACTTGATTTGAATGCAGGTTCTTTTCACCGGATAATGAGTTGTGTGAAACTACGTCTGCTCGTCTACTCGATCTGATCTTGAGTCTTGTAGGCTGTATCTCCTCTTTGTACAGATTGAGATGAAGTCGATCTGATTTCTAGTGTAGTGTGTCCTGGTGTCAGGTGAAATCCATGTCGCTGCCTTGTGAATATCCTTGTGTTTGTACGCACTGCCTCGAATCACGAAATCGTTGAATGCACAGAAATCTGCAAACAGTTCTCCGTTCTCATTCATTTCACCGAGTGCTTGTCTTCGATTCCTTTTGAGTGGAATCTTGCATTCATGGTCCTGTTGCTGCCGGAGTAGATTAGTTCCCACTGAATGTGAGCCCTGAATGTTCTTGGTGACATCATGATAGCCACACGCTCCGTATGCTCTTGATTGTCGCTGGGGTGACTATATCAGAGTAGATAATTGACATTCTAGTTGACAGTTTGGAAAATCCACTTCCATTCCATCTGCTTTCACTCATTCCAAGTGCTTTCATGCCATATCTCCTCACCTCTTTGGCGATCTGGGCAGCCTTGGTAGGTTCATACATGGTGCGGAAATTCCATGTCTGCATCCTTACTTTCTTTTTTATCGAGAGAGGGAAGGCACATCTGCCGATTGGCCTCCCGAAGTCTTCCACCAAGCGGCATCATTTCGTGTCTCTTATTCCAGCCAGAAATTAGTTTGGTTTTGTGTTTTATATTTTCTTTGTGCTTTGAAGTTTCCTCAGCGATTGGATTGGTTTTTCAGGGTAGGGTTTTCAGCCCTGTTCCAAACCTCCCCTGTTTATCCGGGCTTAGGACCGACTAGTAACTAGTGAACTAATTAATCAGGCACTTATTCTATGAAAATTAAATACTGTGCATTTTTATTTTGGTGAATATAATTTATGCTTACATTATGGCTGAATTTTGCAAGCAGAATGTGAATGTCCAGTGATGTACTAAAATATATCTTCTTAGATCATATTTGACGTTAGACTCAGCCACGTAGCACAACATAGGATTAGGGACAGAATGCCTAGCATTGTGAAATTTATGCCGTATTTTGTAAAAATCCTCCTAATGATATTGTATGCTACACTTGCCTTTTGAAGGGAACATCTGATGAATCTATCTGTAATTTCATTATAGATCTACCAATTATATGTAACCCTATCTTGCTGACAGGATGATTTAAAGTAGCATGATCCATTTTATAGAATAGCGTATCTGAAAATAAGCACCGTCGTTATACAAGAATTCATCAAATGCATATTAGTAATGTCAAACGAAACCACTTCTACATGTGGTACTATTCATATCATCCTTCTTGTGGATTCAAAAGAGTGCTGTGTAATGGAATCGCAATGTGCTCATTTGTCTTTATAGGCTGATACTACTTATTTTTAGCACGAAATGATAGGTCGCATTGATTACAGTTTTTATGTGCTTAAAACTTTCAGTTTTACGTTTTAGTTACTTGCAATAAAATAAGTAACATAAGTAAAAATCCAAATAATTAATTGCAGAAACAGAAAAGCTTACAAAAACTGAAGAAAATTTATGACAATAAGCTTAAATGATGTAATACTAGATATGCAGACCACTCAGAATGACTACACAACACAGTGGAATTTAAAAAAACTAGAGAGATATTGTGTTCGTAGAAATGTTTGCAACTAGGTTTGTACTGGCTTTGAATGTCGATGATCCTCATATGAATCAGTTCATACTGTGGTTTCACTTTGACTCATTATCGAACACTTTCTCAACTGCATGAAATACGTTAGGAAGCTTAAATCTTTCTTGAGTGACGTTTGTGAATTTGTTTTCATCATAATGACTCTTTGTCAATAAAGTAATATTTCAACCTTAATTATTTAGAAACAGATGAAGATGTTTGTCTAACGGGATCTACGAAGGCCGATCAGAACAGTTCAGGTGTACGAGAATCACTAGAAATGTCTGCTAACATTGAAGACCACACAGGTGTTTCAAAATCCACTTCTTCAAACGAAATGAAAAGTACATCTGGGAGTTTACCAAGTGATGAAGCATCCAGCTCCGTAGCAATCAAATCTGAAAAATATACTCTACAAAGAGGCCGTACTGCAACCAGATGTAACAGTATACAAAACAAAACAAAGCGAGTGAGTTATCACGATGTATTTTACATTATTCCGTGTGTTTCTTACCTAATTCGAGATCTTTATGTTTAGTCAGTTGTATATTTTTTGAAAAATGTGAGTTTTGGTCTGAGTAATACATGGTGTTTATCATTCAGTTAACTCAAAATCCTTTCTGAAAGAGCTGAACCACTTTTGTATCACATTTCATGAAAGTGGATTAGAAAAACAGTGGTATTAAGAACTGCATTACTCCCTGGGAGGCAGACATAAGCAGCCGAAGAGCCTCATATAGGACGAAACTTGCATCCTGGATACCTATGCTAGCCACTATCTATCTTCAGTTTCAAAAGTGAAAATATTGGTAATATACAGGCATTCAAATGGCAGCTCATGTCCCAATACTAGCCGATCAACGCGGTCCAATCAATGACGGGAAATTATAAGCTCTTACATCAACAGCATTGGAAATATTTTTGAATAAAACAGCCTGAGAGTAAGAAAAATAACTTAAAATATTTAGTATGGTTTGCTTTTTGATAGCCAGTACAGTAGAACAATTTACACAAAGTAAGAGCGACACGAGTTGGAGAATAAAATTTCTATCACATATCTCATTCCATCTCATGAGTTAAAAACTGCCTAAAATATTACTTATTCGAATGTTAATTATGGACATATTTCCGAGAACATTTAAACTTTCTTGAATCCGATGGTATGTTTATTTAGCAGAATAGCTGATGATTCGAATAGGACCAGTTTCTAAAATAATATTACCTTCCTCTTTTCACTCACATCATTGATATAAAATAAGAAATAAATTATTTAGATTTGAGTAACTTCCAACATTAATGCAACAGTACTTGTTGACTTTATCCCCTGAAAGATATTCCGTTAATGGAGCGAAATCGTAAGCAGTTGGTGACAATTTGACCAAATGATTTCAAAACCGTGTTACCTTGTCTAGTCAGTTATTCTTGTTGTACAAAAATACGTGGATACAATTTTTTTTAGAAACAATTTCTTACACTATTATTCATATCCTTGAATCACTTGGTGAGAAACATTTCAGAAATCTACAGAAATATTCCAAACAAGTTTCATGACGAAAAATTACATTCAGTAAACTTGTCAATGATAAAAGCATTGCCTGAGGGATAAAACAAAGTTTTAACACCCAAATTTCCTGCGAAAAATTCCTTACAACCCTATTGGATCCGAATCAAAGCGTAGTTCCATCAGGGTTTCCCAGTAAGTTTCCTACAATATATCTCAAACTGCACCAAACTGTATCAAGTAAAATCCAAGGCACTCTCACGTGAATATAGGTTTCGTATATCATTATTATTATTGTTATTATTATTTTTAGTCTCTTGGTTTCCCTAGTGGAACATAGGGCTTCAGTAGAACACCTCCTTTGCACTCCCTTCTCTGCAGTCTTTTCAAACTGGCTCCACGATTGACCACAAGCTCTCATTTCTTCCTCACACGATCTCCTCCATATCACCCTCACCTCGGACATCCAAGTCGTCGTTTCCCATGTGGGTTCCACTCAAGGGCCTGGCACGTGATGTCTCCAAATCGTCTTCTCAGTGTATGCCCAATCCAATCCATCTCCACCATCTTCTACTGCAGATTTGTTGGGCGATGGGTTCTCGGTTGGTTCGTTGCCAGTCAGTCATCCAGAGTTCCTTGTTGCTTATTCTTATTATTCTGGCCATCTGATCCCCATCTTCAGTATCGAGTGAGCGTAGGTGGCAGCTGTTGATGATGTGTGTCTGTAGTTTGTTGGAAATGCTTTTCGTGACGAGTCATATCTCTCAACCATCACATAGAAGCGCTGAGTTGGCGTTGGTGTTGAAAATCTGGATGTTATTCACGCTTCATGCAGAGTGGAGTGCAGTAGATCTCCACACTGGTTTCGGATTAATGGAAGCCTGTCTTGCTGTATTTCCGATCGTGGTTTTCACATCCTCGTCTGTGCCATTACCGCCGTCTATGGTTGAGACTTCGCTTCCTAGGTAAATGAAAAAGACAACCTTCTTCAGATTTCTCCGTTGATGATGATTCTCTTCCATTCGCTAACTAATAAAACCGACAGCAGGAAACAAGCTGTTTCTACCTTTCTTTTCAAAAATAAATACAGAATTAATTCTCTAGTGGTCACCGAAAAACTTTTTTCTTTCTACAGGGTAATTCTGAAGTAAATCCTCTTAAATTTCATTTTAATTAACCACACGTATCTTTATGTGTTCATTATCAGGAAAAATCATTTCCTGTAGAAAAACTACATCTTTGAAGAGATTTGTGTTTCCCATTAATCGGTATTTCCTTGTAATATAAGAAAAATAAATCGCTTGGAATAAAGACTAAAAAGGAGATATCGCAAGACTGAATACACTACAGTGACCGTTTGGAGCAGCTGATTCTGTCATATAATTTACAAGAAAAAAGATTATTGGTAACACTTGTGATTTGGAAATAAGATTATACTTTCTAAAGTTTACTGATGAGTATCAGTAAACACAAAACTAAGCTTCGGGGGTGTTGCGAATGATTTGTAGCTCAGGATGAAGATGTTCATGGTTAGGTGTTTTCTGATGTGTGGTATTTTGTAGTGAGCCTTTCGTCACCAGGCTTGGCGACATTTCTAGAATCATTAGGCTTCAGTGACTTCTACTGAACTGTCTAAATTATGCGACCGGGAAAATTGTTAGTAAATCTTTCCATTTCAATCATACTGTTGTATCTGTGAATCTAGTGTAATCTTTCTCTATAGATAATTGTGGTGACTAGTGCTTTCATTTTCTACTTTTGTTTAAGTTCATCATAAGCACCTTTTGAAGTAAAATTTCCATTGATACAAATTATTAATATTTGGTATGAAATCTTTATTTTTTGACTGGCGTTTTGGAATTAATAACGATGAATGATTTATATGCTATTTACCTGAATTAAGCAACTCAATAAATATAGTTCACTTTCATTTCTCTTTTTAGTCGCTTTTTGAATTTATCTGGGATTTCATGTAACTTTTATTCTTCAATAGTCTGGAGCTCATTCCGGAAGACAATCAGTCGAGAGTTTAAAAAATCCTTCTAAACTTGTGGCCATTAGTGAAAATCCAAGTCCTTCAAAAAACCCTTCTGTGGAGTGCTTCTCAGATAATGCAAACGGAATTCAAGGTAGCAATCCTCAAGTTTGCTTGGTTTCTCGACATTCTCCAAGATGCCGTAGCAGAATTCGTATGCGCGATGAGCAGATTATTGCCCGACTACGGACAATCGTCAGTCAAGGAAAACCGTCCGAAAAGTATGAAACTCTTGGGCGCATTGGTCATGGGTAAGTGACGCAATATTTTTCTGTCATTTCGACAGTTAATAACCAATAGTCACTGTGTTGCTTCCATGCCAGTATTCTATTTGGACTTCAGCAATTCAAATATATCTATTTACTTCCTCTAAATGCAACAGAATACTTCATTAAACAATAAAGAAAAATACAGGCAAGATCAACATAAGACCAGGCAATAATGTGTAATGACTAAAGTTGTCACATCTCATATCAGTTCATCGAAAGAGAAAGTAACAAGATGAAAGACAGAGAAATAAAGAAAGCAGTCAAATTCGCAGAAGGTCATGATAAGATAACAAGGAGGCAGAAGAAAATACTGAGTTAAACATGACGATTACAATGAGAATAATGTGCCGATACATCTGCACCTCTAGCAGTGATCCTGAGCCATGTTACCTAGAATCTCCAACCATTGGTTTGTGTTTTCACACGTGCCCCAACCAGGAAGTTTTTATTTCCTGGCTGAGACCAAACCAGCAGTTAGAGATTTCAGTACATTGAATATTCCCATTTAATCATTTAGGAAAAGACTGATTGAGCGAAGAAATTTATTCCTTTTCAATTAGATCTTCATCCTGGGCTCTACACTAATATATAGTTTTACAATTTAGTCAAATTACCATCAAGTGGTGGGGGGGGGTTAGTGAACAATAATCATAGATTTTAAATAAGTCATGAAGATGTTTTAGAAATAAAGATGTAAATATTGAATGGAGTCATTAAAATTGGAAATATAAAGCAGGTTATTCCTAGGTAAATGGAGTGATTTATGATGCGTGCTCAATCATAAACAATAGCTGATTACGTAACAATAAGAAAATAAATGAATATTGATAGAAACAAGAAGGGGAAGTTAGAGATTTCATGGGCTGGTGTCTAATATTTCGTCAGTCTGAACCTTCTTCAGTTAACAGTGCGATGGGGTAGACAGTGACTAGGCATGCATAACACCTCAATCCATTGAGGTTTATAACTTCATCATACAACTTTTCTCTCTTTCCTGGAACTCTACACCTGACTTCTGCGTTACCCATTTGGTGACACCACGACATACGGTCTGCTCTACGAAGGTAGCGGTTCTCGAATAGTCGAAGCATTTTCATGTCCTCTGTATTTAACCTCCATGTTAAACAGCCCCATATAGTAGAATAAGCTCATCTGGAGCGCAGCACACTCGATACTTGACAGGTAGTCAGGTATTATGACGGTGCGATAAATGGTATTCGCTGATGAAAGCCAAGCGAGATCTTTTCCGTAGCTGACTCACCAAGACTGATCCAAACTCTCAAGTAAGTGAACTTAACTACTTCACTCCTATTGTTACCCAAGGTACCACTCACACCCAGTCCTGGCGAGAAACTCATCTCAAGCATTCTTAAGTCGCCAGTCCTGGTGTCTAGAAGGCTGCATGTTGTCATGGTCTTTCCCTAACAGAACTAAGTCATCTAAATACCGTAGATCCGTGGAGGATTCTCCTGTGGAGATAATTCCCTGTGAAGTCAAACGACAAGATGGTGATCTCCATAAAAACGTTTGTGATAAGGTCTAATAAGAATGGAGAGTGGACGTCTCTAACAGATACTATTCGACGTGTAGAACTCACCATAGGCTGTAATTATTATATGTTACGGACGGATATTATTCGTACACTTAACTGAAAACTAACTTCAAACGCAAGAGCCACCGACTGAAACTAGGGACGAATAGAGGAATAAGACTGAAGCTGGATGGGAGAGTTTGCTCCTCCGATAATAATAATCAATTAATTAATTCAAAAAACAAGTAAGTGTATGTATACATATGGAATATGACCTTGTCTGGAAATTGATGCATTACCATAGTAAGAGTAAGGACGAACCAATCAGCGAACTACGTTACAATGGAAGCAGAAAATAAACTACCAGTTATGCTGTAAAAATGGTGTGAGAATGACCATTTAAAAATGTTCAGACGAATATCAATGTTTTATGCAAAACTGGGGCCTTACAACACCCCGTTTTGAAAAGAAAACCTTCGCTTCTTGGAATCCAGTAGGAAATGAACAGTTTGAGACCATCCAATCCCTACATCTGGGTTGAGGCTCCTTGTTGATATTGGTTTTAGGTTTTTCCATCATCGTTGGTAAGTTAAACGTATCCAGTAGAATATCGAGTGGTATGGTTGGATTCTCCGGTTGATTGGCTTTTCTATGACGCATATGATTCTTGTATCTATCCTATTTCTCCTGATCCACCTTTATGTCGCACAACACACCTCCATGTCTTCCCATGACAACACCTTCCGTCCATATGCTATGTCCCGGTCTGTAATCTCGTACGTAGACGGAGTTTTATTTGTTGAAGTGTGATCCGACCGTTTGCTTTTTTGTGTATGACGTGATGTTAGCATTATCTGGTGTGGCGTACGTGGCTTTCTTCCCATTAAAACCTCCGCAGGAGATTTGCGAACTGGCAGGGTGTCATTTAGTGTTAAGCGATAGATGAATAGAAATTGTTGTATGATATCCGATCCCCTCCTCCTTCGGCTTTAAGGAGAGCTCGCTTACAGGTATCAACAAATCTTTCTGCCTGGCCATTGGATTGCGGATGGTACGGTGGTGTATGAATATGATGGATTGCATTGACACTGAAAAACTCTGCAAACTCGTTGAAGGTGAACTGTAACCCACTTTCTGAAACAACGGTTTCGGGCAACCCATGGCAGATGAAAATATTTTAAAGAGCAGCTATTCTTCGGCGCGATGATATGGTGATACTGCGGCGATCTCCGGCCACTTGGAATGAGCATCAACAACAATCGGATAGTAGGTTCCATGTAATGGACCTGCGAAATCGATATGAATTCTAGACCAAGATCGGTCTGGCAATGGCCAGCTCTTTGGCGGAAGACGTGAAGGATTCTCAGCTGCCTTCTGACATGATGCACAGCGACCGACGAATTCAGCTATATCAGAATCCATATTGGGCCAATAAGCGTAGCCTCCGGCGATGGCTTTCACAAGTTCTATTCCTTGATGATGAGTGTGAAACTGTTTTAAGAGTTTTGCACAGAGAGACTGGGGGATCACTACGCATACTTCGAAGATGAGGCAGTTGCCGACGGCACAAGGGGATTCTCTTCTGCAGAACTGTTGTTTCAGGTAACCGGTACACGATATTTGTGGCCATTTTGTCTGGACATACTATACGACTTTCTGTATGATATGGTCCTTGTAGGATTCATTTTTCACTTAAGCCGACGTGACAGGAAGTGTGCGGACTGCACAACTCAGTAGGTTAACTTCATAATCCTTTATGGATACTAATGCGATCACTGCGTCTTCTTTAGGTGTAGGGACATCTGACGGTACTTCCGCTGTATTTATTATTATTTATTATTAGTCCCTTGGGTTCCTAGTGGAACATAGGGCTTCAGTAGCACGCCTCCAGTGACCTCTGTTCTCTGAGATCTTTTGAACCTGGTTCCACGACAGCCCAGAAGCTCTCATTTCCTCCTCGCATGACCTCCTCCATGTCACCCTCGGACGTCCAACTCGTCGCTTCCCATGGGGATTCCACTCGAGCAACTGGCCTGACGCGTGATGTCCTCAGTCGGCCTTCTCAGTGCATGGCCAATCCATCTCCACTTCTTCCTGCATATTTGTTGCGTGATAGGTTCTTGGTTGGTTCGTTCCCAGAGTTCCTTGTTGCTTATTTTTTCTGGCCATCTGATCTTCAGCAGCGAGCGTAAGCAGTTGTTGATGAATGTCTGTAGTTTATTGGAAATACCTTTCGTGACGCGCCAAGTCTCTGAGCCATACAAGAGCACTGACTTGACGTTGGTGTTGAAAATCCGTATCTTGTTCCACATGCTGAGTGCAGAAGATCTCCACACTGGTTTCAGGCTAATGAACGCCTGTCTTGCTTTTCCGATTCTGACTTTGACGTCCTCGTCCGTCCCGCCTGTAGTTGAAACAGTGCTTCCTAGATAAGTGAAGGAGGTTACTTCCTTCAAGTTTCTCCCGTTGACGGTGATTGGAGTTTGTTGTTGTTGTTGATGGTGGTGGTGCGGTATCTTCATCACTTCTGTCTTCTCTATATTCACCTGAAGTCCCGTCTTAGCTGCCTCTTCTATCAACTTGTTAGTTTTTGCCTGCAGATCTTCAAGTTTATGTGACATTAGGCATAAGTCATCGGCGAAATCCAAGTCTTCTAGGTTCTTTTCCGTCGTCCAGTGTATCCCCCTCTTCTCGCTGCCTACTGTTTGCTGCATGATCCAGTCCACCACAATAAGGAATATCATGGGGGATAGTAGGCAACCTTGTTTCACTCCTGTCTTCACTTCAAAGGCATCACTGAGCTTCCCATTGTGGATTACTTGGCATGTGGCATCTTCATATAGTTGTTGAATGAGGCGGATAAAGGTTTGCGGTACTCCGTAGTATTGAAGCAGTTTCCAAATTACTTCTCGGTCGACGCTGTCAAAGGCCTTCTCAAAGTCGATGAAGTTGAGGTATAGAGCTGATTGCCATTCTACGCTCTGTTCTATGATGATACGAAGCGTTGCAATTTGGTCTGCACATGATTTGTACTTCCTGAAGCCTGCCTGTTCCGGTCGCAGTTTTGAATCCAGTGCGTCTTTAAGCCTCTCCAGGATGATGCGGCTTAATATTTTACTTGGGGTGGATAGGAGAGTGATTCCGCGCCAGTTCTTGCAAGCACTGAGGTCTCCCTTCTTCGGCAGTTTGACAAGGTAACCCTTCTTCCAATCGTCAGGTACCTTCTCTTCCTTCCACACCTTCTGCAATAGTGGTGTGAGCATGTCCGCTGTTGTCTCTGCATCTGTTCTCAGTGCTTCTGGCGGTATTCCATCTGGTCCTGCTGCTTTCCCGCATTTCAGTAGCTTTATGGCGTTCAGGACTTCCATTTTCGTTGGGGGATTAATGTTCACTTGTAATTCAGCGGCTGCAGGTGGTATTTCTGGACGAAGTGCAGGTGGTGGTCGATTCAAGAGCTTCTTGAAGTGGTCGGCCCATCGTTTCCTCTGTT